TATCTATATAGATAAAGATAGATATATATATTTCCTTTTTGTTTGTTTTAAAGTTTTTAGTTTATTCTCTCTAGTTCCTTAAAACTCCCCCTCACCACCTGAAGCCGGGGAGAACAGGACGTAAAAACGTCACCTACTTACACGCCCGTTTCCGTTTTACGTGATGACGTAACGGAGGCTCAGCTATGATGGCAGCCGTAGGTTGACATCAAAACCATACAGAATATTAAGTATCTGAAAGTTAGCGGAAAAGCCCACACACAATAACAGCGAACACATTAACAGTTTTCAGATAGCACACGCTTTAACACACACTTGCCCGGTTAGGGGAACGGTAAGTCACCGAAGCAACGTCCACCTTTTGCTGTGTCAAAGTGGAGCCCGGTGGGCGCCTGCGCTGCGACTCCAACTCGCCTGTTTCATTTCTGGCAAACACTCCTGTTAAACTGCGCGTCTAGCCGTTAACCTGGGTAGGCTAATAAAAGTATAAAGAGCGTTCAGCCCGCTCTTCACACCGGTGTTGTGCAGTTTTGCGTGGTGTGTCCTGCTAACTGGTAACCTAGCTAGTCAGTGTGGAGCTGAGCTAATGTTTCAACCTTCTCATCTTGCTCTCAACTCTTACATTTAAAGTATCGCATCTAAAAGAAAAAAATAGAAAAAATGCAGTGAATTTCAGATTTTTTTCCTAGTGTTTGGACTTAATTGGAAGTGAGTATAGTAGTTTCAAAGTCTGAAGAGTTGTGGTGATCTGAGGAATATGCAGGAAAGCCTGAACCTGACAGTAGTTCTCCACACATTCATCCTCCTCCTGTGTTCTCTTGTCTCCTGCCTGGTGAAGTGGCACTATGCCCGCAGCTACTGTGGATCACAGCCAAAGAATATGTGAGGTTTGGTCCAACAACCTGGAGGAGGAGCTGAAGAGGATCCGACAGATCATCCGAAAATACAACTATATAGCAATGGTGAGTTGGTGTGAGAAAAATACTGGTCGTGTCAGTCCATACATATTTGTTTTTCTTTCACTCAATCACATGCAATTTCATCTGATTAGATTATTTCATCATTTATCCAGAGGCGTAGCCAGAAATGTTTTTATAAGGGTGGCCAGGCAATACCCAATGTACACTGATGGGTGGCAGAAAGCAACTAGGAATAGTTCCAACAGGAAAATTAACAACCAAAACATCCATATTGTCTAAATAAAGACTAACTATACTTTCCTACAGCCTTTGCTAACAAATAAGACGCATATATTTAAACATCCATAACTTTTAAATAAAAGGTATAGTGGATAAAACTCATTTTGAGTTCTGGGGCGTAAATCAATCATCATTGTCATTACTTACCTACTTGTATCAATAAACATTCTGCATGAAATTAATATTTACAAGCAATAATATCTACATAAATTGATTGTTTGATAAGTTTTTATTAAAATTATGTATCTTTGATTTCACTGAAGACTCCTATATGACTCGCAGAGACGCATATTTTTCTCTTTACCCCATAAAACACAAAATCTAGTTCTGAAAAGAGCATGAATTCTGTATTTATCATCTTTGATATTAGTATATTGATGTGTATAATTAACCACAAAAAAATAAAATGTTTTGAATATTTCACTTGAGAGTATTACTGCTGCCACCATCTGTATTAGAGAGAAAAAAATGGTAGGGGTGGCCCTGGCCCCCAATCTAGCTCCGCCCCTGCATTTATCTCACTATTTAAGTGACAGTCATTTCATTTCACTACAAATACAGCGGGATATTTGGGCTGGTTTTGATTTATTCTCCATCTTTAATTTATTTTAAACGTATAAACAAAATAACCTTTTCAGGAAACTATAAAAAGGTTCTGTAACTCTTATTGAAGGAAAAATTACTAATGTTAACTGCTAAGGGAGCCAGTTTTTAACAGATTGTATTATATAAATGTATTGATAGAAAGTTGAATGGAGGGGAAAAATGTGATGCAAATGTGAATGCACACCATCAACACAGTAGGGCTTCAACTAACAATAATTTTTCTTCAAAAAAAAAAACAAACAACAAAAAACTATTTAATATTTTTTCTAATTAACAGATGCACTAGAAAACCCTCTGAGGGCCCAGACCTCCACCAAGCAGCAAATTTTGCCCCAAATTGTGACTTAAACCTATTGCTCATTTAAAATCTGTTCTTAAGTTTTTAATTAATCCTGCTAACAAACCAGCAACACTCCCTTTTCTTGCCTTTTGGTCTTCAGTAAAACACTGATGCTGAATTTGTTAGTAGTCACTGCTGCCACCCTCTGGTTTAGTGGGGAACTGCCTGTTCCACCAAATATCCTTATCCAACATTAGAGAATCTTTAAAAAATCCCTGTATCCAGATTATGATCTGGATTATCACCAAAATTGAATGGATTGTTCCTTAGCTTTAGGCGCACCTCCGATAAAAATGTCATTAAACTCTATCATAACTTTTTGGGTTAATTTGAAAATGGACAAACCAAAGTGGATGTAGACAAATTAAATTTGGCGGGGGTAATAATTGGATGAAAAAGGTGACTAATGGGACTTCTTACAGGGTTTAAACCAGGTGAAGCTAAAGCTAAGCCACTTGTGGACTTCTGAATTCAGCATTTGTAAAGATGTTTTAAATTGTAAATTCACTTGTTTTTTGTATAGTTTTATCTTATTTAATGCGAGAGGTTCAGAAAACGGCTTCTTTTAGAGTCTGAACAGTCCACTAACGATTACTTGGTGTAATTAGTCGACCATTATTTCAATAACCTATTAATCCCGATCAACTTAAATACTTATTCTACTGCTAATTCTAAGAGTTTCCAAAATAATATTAACTATTACTTTTTTATTTGAAATTCTCTTGGTAACAGAATTATTAGAACTTTGCTCTTATTTTCAGGCCAGTTGGTCAAATAAACAAAAGTAAATAAACTGTCAGGTATTTTCTAAAAATGCAAAGTTTTCATATGTATTCTTGAAATGATATGAAATAGCTGGTCGCTGAACTGCTTTAGGCTGAAGGTTTTGGTAGAAATGCTTGAGCTGTAATCCCAGTTATAAGTAGCTTTTTTAATTAGGAAAACAAATTGGAGCCGTTGTCAGATTTTGCTTTTACCAGTTAAGACAATTGGCCAAAGTAAAACCTTTTCTTTTAAGGCAAAAGTTATCAGTGCTTTCGTTCCATCTCTGTTGGATCACTGTAACGGACTCAATGTTGGTGTGTGCCAGGCTTTGCTGTCTCGCCTCCAGCTGGTGAAAAACGCAGCTGCTCATCTTTTAACTGGTACTCCAAAAAATGATCATATCACTCCTGTCCTAGCCTCACTCCACTAGCTGCCTTTGCATTTTAGAGATTTTAAAATACTTATCTGTTTTTAAGTGCCTAAATAACCTTGCCCCATCTTACCTCTCTGAGATTCTTTACCCATACTTTCCTCCTCTGTCCCTCTGGTCAGCAGAACAGCAGCAGCTGCTGCAGGTACTGAGGTTTAAGAGGAAGCTTAAAGGGGCAAGAGTCTTCTCTATCGCTGCTCCTCTTTTTTTGGCGCCTCCCTCTGCACATTGGGGAGGCTCCTTTACTAACAAATTTTAACACTTGGCTCGGTACCTACTTTTATTCACTGGCTTTTAAGACTGGCAGGACTTAGTTTTAACCTTTTTTATTGAGCTTAAACAAATTCATATTATTGCCTTATTCTATATCTTTATGATGCATTTTATTATATTATTTTTTTTTATTATTTTTAGCTATTTTCAGCCCCTTGTTTTCAGCTGTTAGCTCTTTTAAAGCGCTCTACAAATAAAGTAGATGATGATAGCTGGATACAGTCTAGATAGGCTGTGAATTCTGACAAGCTCCCTGTGCAGTTTCCCTCTCTTTGTATCAAAGACAAAACATAACAATTTCATCCTTGAGTGTTTATGAAGCTCATTATGGCAAATAATACATGACTAGTGGAGCCTTCTGTGTGTTTGGGAAAACGATGCTTGATTGATGTAAAAATTAAATGAAAGAATATTGCAGCACAGTGGTTTCTCACTTTGGTGGCTTTTTCTCTTGAAGGACACGGAGTTTCCAGGTGTTGTAGCCAGACCGATCGGAGAGTTCAGGAGCAATGCCGACTATCAGTACCAGTTGCTGCGCTGCAATGTGGACCTGCTGAAGATTATACAGCTGGGCCTGACGTTTATGAACGAGCAGGGAGAATATCCTCCAGGAACGTCAACGTGGCAGTTCAATTTTAAGTTCAACCTCACGTAAGATTGCTGCCTCTTTTCTTTGTGTTACTGTTTCTCTGATGTGACGGCGTGCGATGATTGAAACACAAATTTAATTCTGATTGTTAATTATGCACTGAATATGAAGAGTAGCCATCTGTGAGGTTTATTTCAGGAAGAAGAAAAGTTCTCAAATGTGAACAGTTTGCGACTCTAAACTATCCTGCATGTGCTAAAGAACAACTATGCTGTCTCTTTGGTCCAGAAAACATGGAAGAAATAGGCGTGAAAGCAAAAGTTTACATACACTTTAAAATGATACTTTTTGCTCTTTACTATTAGACCTGAAATCTGATTAAAACTTAAGATCACATAAAGTATTTTTATTTTATAAATAAAAGAATAATGAAAATGATTTATGATTTTCTTAAAGATCAGAGGTTTTCATATGTTTTTATGTATATTTGTTACCCTTTCCCTTAAACAGCCGATTTGGGTCAAACATTTTTGATATCTTTCTGCAAGCTTCTCCCCAAAAGTTGGCAGGAACTTTGACCCATTAGAAAAAAGTTCTAACAGACTTAAAATGGTGTTAAAAGTTACATAGATTTCATAACTGACTGGGACTGAGACGACTGTCCAATAAATAGCATGGAATTTATCCGACTGATATCTTATTTTAATGGTTCATTAGCATAGTGGCAGCATAGAGCAGTGGAGCTTAAGCATTAGCTGAAAGGTTATATTATGCGAGTAAACAATGGATTAAACTAAAAATGAAATAAAGTATTCAGAGTAGGGATGCAATTTAAAAAGTAATTTGATCAATTAATCTGAAGTTAAATGATTTTATTGATAAACTGCAGATTAATTATTTTAGTTTTCTCTTTTCAACAGGATCTTTCCATAACATGAACGGCTAAATATTTATTTTCAATAAGCAGAGTCAAAGAAATGCATATTAGATTTTATTGTTCCAGCTGTATTAGATGCTGACCTAATATAAATAAAAGTTTTTCTTACACTTTATTAAACGTGAGATATTAAAGCAATGACCAACAAAAGTCTTTAGCATCTGCCGTGTTAATTGCTAACATGTCTTTTCTATCATGATACAAACATTGGCGTGACGCCCTCCTCTTATCTATCATCATATCCTTGTCCTCTGAGTGCACTAAAAAACTTTACGCTGCCCCTCCATCAGAATCAGAATCAAGTTTATTGCCAAGTAGGTTTGCACTTACAAGGAATTTGACTTGGTGTTGTTGGTGCAGACAAAAAACAAAACAAAATAGCAAAATAAGATAGAATAT